ATCCGGCCGGGCCCCCTCCCCTCCCTCCCTCCCTCCCTCTCCCCCAGCTCCTGGCCTTCTGCCCGGGCTGGGAGCTGCTGGTTCCAGCGAGCTGCTCGCTGCCTCTCCCCGTTTCCGCTGGGCCCTGGCCCCCAGCCCTTATCTCCTCCAGCCCCTGTTTGCAGAGTATAAAGGGGGAGCCAGCGGGACTACGAGCACCACCGGAGCAGCCTGGGTGGCTGCTTGGCTCCTCACCTCCTGCTCTGCACCATGGGGCAGGACAGGCTGCTCCTCACACCAAACATCTTCTTCTTCCTCCTTCTCTTCCTGCCTGGAGGCGCCTCGCCCACCACCGAGCCGTAAGGGGTGCAGGGGGGGCTCAGGGTGGGCAGGAGACCTGGGTGCTGTTCCTGTGGCTGGTGCTTTGTCTCTCATCTTCTGCCTGCTTTCCTTTACTCAGGAATAGAGACACCAGGGGCTGGGTAAAAGCGTCTCCTGCAAACAGCAAGTGGTGTTTCAGGGGGAGGAAAACCAGTCTGTGAAACTGAGATACCAGTAAAACTGCAGGATTAAAAAAAAAAGGGGAAAAGAGGGACAGGTCTATGAGAGCAACTTCTGCTGCCTCAGGGAACTGATAGGATTGCAACAAAATTTTCTGCTCAAAACTGGTTCTTTTGAAAGAAAACTTTTTAGAACTGTTTCCACATTCATTTTTTTTTCTTAAAAGCCACTTTGAGAAAGACAATGAAAGGCTTCATTTTGGGTTGACTATGCCTAGACTGAAATACTCAGGAGATGGGAGTGGGTTTTTGATTGATAATGAGCAAAAAAAGGAAAGGAACAAAGGACAGATTGGGCATTGACCACAAATGGCTTTTATTTTCTAATTCACATCTTTCAGCTCAGCCAAAAGAATGAAAATTCCCTTCTCAGCCAGGGTTATCTGGCACTGTGAGACTGTGACTGTCAGGGTCTGTGAGGGTGTATTTGCTGCATCCCTTCTTCGCCTCCTCGTGCCCTGTCTGGGTGTGC